ACATTCTAAATATATTTTTGGTCTTGAATTGTACGTAAAGCCTTAAAAAACTATCAAATCAACTAGTAAGTAATTTCACTATTTCTGGTATATTAAATCCACAGAAGAAAAAGAAAAATCCGTCCAGTAAACTGAATGAAAAATTTAAAAAATCAACGAAGCAGTATAAAATGACAGATGTCTTGTTAAAATAACTCAATGACAAATAACTCCAGTTGTTGAGATTAGTCATAATTTTGATGTCAGAATATTCTCCATTTTTTTTTAACTAACAGTACAGACTTATAAACTTCACATTACAAGTTTTGGTCGTTTTAATAAAGGTACCTGTTAAATTTTAATCAATCTTCAAAGAAAATGTTAAATTAAGTTTTCATTCGTTTCAATGACTTTAACGCATAATTATGATTTGGTAATAAAAACAAAAATAAACATAAACTGAAAACCTTACAAAATTCGTATCTTAGTACGTCAAATTAACTTTCAACTTAGATTCAAGCACTAAAAGATTAATAGATATATCATTTACGTCAGAGGTTTTAGATCAGAGGCTTGAATCACGTCAACGTTTGTACAATTCTGTTTTTGGAGATCTAGTAGATTCTAATTAAAAAAGCTCAACATACGTACATACGAATAATCCTAATACTTTCCTTTGCTAATTTAAAATGAAACATTCGAACAGTCCTTTGTCTGTTCACTTTCGACATATGCTTCCAGCTAGAAACACCCTATAGTATACGTTCGTTGACAGGTATGTATCATTAACGAAACAGCAATTAGGTGTAAAGATGTTGCAATTATTAATGCCACTGGAAAAGGCTTAAATCCATTTCTTCTCCCCTCTCCACCCAGATATGGATTAAATAACAGGGTAAACTCAGCTCTAAAGTATTGAGTGCGAGCCAGTCTGGGAGAAAGACAACATTGAATTAAAAAAGTAACGGAGAAAGCAACTTGGAAACCACTCTACTAAGACGTCATGACAATTCACAGAAGAAAGGTAATCTGTGCGAAATCTAATCTGAGAGGGGGAGGCAAGGTACTAGCAAAATAATATTATAGATAATAACGTTGCATTTTAATGTCGTGATTTTACAAGCTTTTAAAAAAGAGAATATTTTAGTGGGAAAAGGACTCGCATGGTTTCATTTTTCAGTTTTTTGAAGAAGATACATTTGCGCTAATTATGAAATATCTAGGGATGTGTATTATTTATGAATGTTTTGGCAAATTATGCACATTTAATCGAGAAGGTGAATTACATCAATTATTCAATTTATGTAATTTAAACAGGAAGAAATAATTATTTCATTTGGGTTGTTGAACCAAGAGAATTATAGATAAAAAGTAGACAAGGGAAACATTAAAAATATCTTCCCAGTTTGTGGATACTTAAACTACCTACCTAGTAGTCCGACGGTCTGTTAAGCTAATCAATTTAGGACTACTGTTTTACTAGTATTTACCACTGTTGACTCTACTTGGAGACTGATTTTGGTGTCACTGATTAATTTTTCCTTGTTCTTGAGAGCACTTAAAAATGTTCGGTATAGCATGCCAAATATCTCCCTGGCTTAACTACCCAAAGAGATCGTTCAAGACTACCCCTTGCAACTGATACCATACTGATATGCAAAGCGGGTTAACGACCATCAGCGAAACGAGTTCGAATTTCTCCTCACTTACAGGAAATGCATGAAACCTCTTCCGCCCCTATCGAGTTCTCTCCTATGAGCACATATCTCAACGAAAAGAACTCGTCATTGGCATGCCACAAAGAAAAGTGAAAGTGAGAGATCACCTGGGTAGATAACTCTCTCAGAGCTACCTCTACCTGCACAGGCAATAGCAGCAAAATAAAAATTTATTTTCATTTTTAAAAGGGAGTAATCAAACAATATTAATATTTTATATATAGTTTTAATGTTTGATAACGTTTATATTCAAATTGTGTTAATATATGAATCGACTTTATGCGTTTTTATATGATATGAAATGTCTCATTACTTGCATGCCACGATGTTAAACGGAGAGACAATAGGGATTAAATTGTTAACCGATTTAAAATGCTTATTTCCTATTAAAAATAAACCAGGATGAAAAAATTAAACAAAAATAATTTTATTAATTGGATACAAAAGAGATTAGTGGCTTAATTAAAGGCATTTCTAGAGTACATCGATCTGGTGTAATGGTTAGCGAGCAAGTCTGGGGTAGAGAGTTCGATTCTTATTCAGTATTCCACTTTTGTGGGCTTGTGGTACTGATAAACTAAACTAAGCTTAATAAATACAACTGGTGGGAAATTGTTTCATTGTTGGTGATCCATAATCATGACTGAAATTTAATTAATATCGATAATATTAAAATTATATTATTAACAATCGCTATCGGTTTTATATCAGCGACGAATTCTTTGAGAGAGTAGAGAAAGAAGGTATCTTACAAGAATGATGAAGGCCCAGCACCAACTGTGAGTCACTCCGAAGCCTCCCATGGTGCTCTCCCTCGTATTCTCTTCCAGAAATCCTTGCTCTCCGTGAAATTCTTCTTTAAAGCTATTTGACTGACTTTTATGAGAACTGTCAACCAATCAAAGCGTAGGAAAACCTGTAAATCAGTTTATGACATTATCTATGATACAGGATCGACAACAGGTATCGCGATGTCGTATTATATACTGTCTATAAATCAGATTGATATCTCCGAGAATTGTAAACAAAAGGAACAACTCCATTTCACTTGACAGCTTTAAAAAATAGCTGATTTTAATTTATGAGTTGAATTATGATTGAATTCGGAAGGTACTTATTTAACGTCACTTGTTGAAAACTAAAATGATCCATTATTTCCTGTTTCTGTGCCTCACTCATCTTTTACTGTATCTTCATATTTTATCCCTTATCCTTTCCTGTACAAAAAAGAGGTTCGTTTTACTATGCATCTTATCTTATCGCATCCTTTTCCCCTGTATCTTCAATCCATTCCTGTACAACAACCATTATCCGTTATGCCATGTCTCTGGTCTCCATGCCCTGTATATTCACATTCCATTTCTTATCTTACAATACACCAGTCATTATTTATTATTTTATACCTCTTCTATTCTCTCATACTTTGCTTGTATCTTCTCATTTTTTAACCTTAGGTATACAAATAGAACGTTACCTCCTCTCTCTGAACTACTCGCACTTTTTCCTGTATCTTCTCATTCTATCCCTTATCCTTTCTAGTACAACAAAGATGATCCGTTGTTTCATACCTCTGTTCTTTCTTTGCTTGTATATTCTCATTCTCTACTTTATCTGTACCAATTCAATTAAGGTTACACATTACTTTCTATCTCTGAACTTATCGCCACATTTCCCTGTATCTTCTCATTCTATCCCTTATCCTTTCTAGTAGAGCAAAGATGATCCGTTGTTTCATACCTCTGCTCTTCCTTTGCTTGTATATTCTCATTCTCTACTTTATCCGTACCAATTCAGTTAAGGTTACACATTACCTTCTGTTTCTGAACTTATCGCCACATTTCCCTGTATCTTCTCATTGTGTCCATTACCCCTTCAAATACAAAGATTATCCATTATATTTTTCACTGTTTTTCTCTCATCCTTAAGCTGTATCTTCTTATTCTCCTCCTTTTTCCTTTCACTCCCTTATCCCTTCAAATTTCCGCCATCTATCCCCTTTTTTTTATTTTAAAAATCATACGCTCGGCTTTATTTCGTATTCAAGAACTTGATTTCTTCTTTTATGATCGCGTTCTTTGTGTTGATGACGTTGATTACATAGATCAATTCTACCATGGAAGAGCCGATGGCATTGACTGCATAGTAATGTTGGTGGAGGATGAGGTCGATTTTGTCAAGCCTTTCTCTCTTGTCGTTTGACTTCTTCATTTTCTCTTCTAGTGGCTTCGACGTTTTTGGTTCTGATGGTGATAGAATATCGCCAGTTGGTAGAGTCTTGTGCTTGTGTTTAAAACGATTTAGGCTTAAGTCAACTGACTTTCAGTGTTTTAAGTTGGTCCTTGTATCTTCCAAGAGGGCAACCCCGTGGTCTTTTCCCTAAAATAAGCTCACTGAATAAGACTTGATACGGAAACCTTGACCCTTCCATTTTTGCTACAAGTTCTCACCATCAAAAACGGTGTTTAATGATCAGCTATTCGATGCTTTGACTGGTGGATCTTTTCAGGATTTTAGTTTTGGTTACGTAGTTGATGTTCAAGATTGAAGGAAGCTTTTGCTGGCGAAAGTGTTCTAATTTCTGAATGTCGCGACGATACAGAATCCAGATTTCGCAAAATTGTAATGGCAACTTGACGGTGATTTTGTTGTTAAGTTCAGATCTTTGTTGTTGAAGACGTGTTTGATTAGCTTTTCAAATGCCCCGTATGCAGTTCCAATTCTGTTTTCCACATCGTTTTCTGAGGTGCACTTTTTTGATAAAAGGCTTCTAGATAAAGAAAATGCTCTACCTATTCTACAAACATAGGTTAAATATGCAAAATAAACTAAAATGAAGAATGCAAAACTATTTTTCTGCTGTATCTCGTCTTTCGTCTTTCTTCTATTCCATATCTCAATAAGGATTTTTAACCTCAATTTCGCAATTTTTTTTCTATACGTGTTGTATACCCCCTCTCTTGTGGCGAGGTCTTTTGGTTGACAGGGCCGATTACATAACGTTGTATCTTCTCTCCCGTTCGTCTTCGAGGTGTTAAACGTAGCTCCCTGAAAGATCTGTCTAACATCCCCACGTTATTTTTAACCAATCAAAAACAACTTTCTTTGTTTTCCTGTATCTGACTTCAAAGGTCAAAATGAGGAAGTCAGAGGAAAATGCAATTCATTAAAAAATAATAGTCTGCTAGACTATTATTTAACATACCTACCTTTCAATATTTACTTTTTTTTCATGACATCTAAATAGCAAGCCTGTCTATCAGTTTTTCATTCGTCTCTATCCCTGGCATTATAGTGTTGAATGCCTTTACTGTTTCTGAAGGGAATATTTGTCAGTGCCATTTGCACTATTCAACTCGTTTTGCTATCATTTCTACATCATAATGCTGACATTCAATTCAAACAGAACAACGCCCGTATTACTCAAAATCCTCTGCCAGATATTCGACAACTTGCTCGTCTGCAGTCTTACAACCATATCACTTTGAAACATTCAGCCTAGTTAATACATACATGCGTGGCTCCTTGGGATACCAAGTACTGTAAGTTTCGATGTGCGGGTGGTGCAATGGATAACGACTAGGAATTGAAAATTGGAGAGCCGCGTTTCAATTCCTGTTGGGTTCGTTACGCGCAAATACACTTTTGAAGGGTATGAATCCAACTTTTTCCCCTCTGGCTATGGGTTAATTATTAGGACCTGTAGGACAGTACCCCATTATTATTTCCATAAAGTTCTTACAATCTAAAACTATTTGCTAGCTTTAGATAACCTGCAAAAGTTTGATAAGCCGTAAAATAAATCAATCAACCTGCTATATATATTTAGAGAGATTTGATAAAATCCAAAGAAGAATCTGCAATGTTATTGGTTCTGACCTGGCATCTCGCATTCAGCAACATTCCCACCGCCGTAGCGTACCACCCCTGTATCTGTTCTATAAATAATTTCATGGTAAGCTTTCTGATGAACTTTCCCCCGATGCCACAAGGATTGTATTTTTTTTTGTTTTTGTTTTTTTTTCTTATTCCTAACACTATCATTTTGTTTAGTTTCTTGTATATAAATTGTATTCACTGCAAATATTCATTGGGGGTTTCTTTTCTAATTGTTCTTAGTTTTACCCCCACCAACACCACAGCCAATTTGTACATATGGGGACTAATTAGGACTATATACAGATTTTGAGGTATTATGGTGGCTATAGTAAGGATAGTAAGTAAGAATGTGTTATTTTGTAGTAAGTAATACTGTGGTATGTTTGGTTAGTAATCTTCATTAGCTAGGTTTAAAATAAGATAGATGGAAGACCAGCCTTTCCCTATCACTCCTTTTGGCCTTGTGCCACATTTTTGTATTATATCAAAATAAATATCACTTTCCTATATGCTGCCTAGACTTCATGAATTTTAGCGCATTGCTCATCATTTTACAGTTCAAATGCCTAGATGTAACCGTAAGTTCTATGCTAACAGTTTCTTCTATCGCACTTCCTGCTTGTGGAAATCTCTTCCGGCTTCTTGCAATGTCAGTCGTTGCCTGATGCCTTAAGTTTCTTTTTCAGCTGTGTTAAGATTGCCCAACTTTCACTGCCATATCGGAGTGCCGAGTAAATTGAAGCATCTACCTGGTTGCAATTTCTTTTAATTTCTTATAGGATAAGGGTTGGACACCTCGACGTGGTGTAATGGTTAACAAGCTTGCCTCGTTAGAACAATTACGACTGAGTAGTGAATTCGATTAGTGCTCATGCTTTTGACCTTGTGCCACATCTTTGATATGCTTAGAAAATTACCATATAAGATAAAGTTTTAGCGAATTATTTTCCTTTTTTTTTCTCCTGTTCGCTTTTTCCTTTTAGTTCTGTTTTCTCTTATATGGAGTTATTTCTCACTGTAACAATTACCGCTTGTAACTAGTCGGTGAAAGGCTATAATCTCTATAATATATTTGCACGCTTTGAGAAATAAATTTCACTGTGCAATTTTCCCACGCACATTAATTTCTAGTTTTTGTAATATTTCATCATTGGAAACATACCAGGATCAAAGTAAATGCAGTAATACTTTGTGTATAGATCGCTAGCAAGTACATAAGATGCAGTTTAAAAAGCAGGTAAATTAAAGGTGAACAAAGCTTATTTATCATGTATAAGACGCACCTAATTTTAGAGTAAAGAAATTACCAAAACTTGTGAAAAAGGAAGAGAACAAATGAAAAAGGGGGACATTTTTTTTTTACTTTTGGGATTTGTAAGAACTGCACGATGGACGTACGGTAACGGAGTAATGGATAGCGGCTCGGATTGAAGAATCGGAGAGCCGAGTTCGAATCCCAGTGAAATCCATTACATTCACTTACGTGCTAATACCCTTGGGGACAGTATAAATCCTCTTTTCCAGCTATGGGTAAATAGCAGGACAGACCGGGTTGGATGGCAACGTGTTTTACCGCGGAAAGAAATGACAACCTCCTGCGGGAAAAAATAAGTCAGTCATTTATCGAAAGATATATGATCGCCTAAGCGTGTATCAGGTATGGCACATAATTGAAGTATTACAAAAAAGTTTATGATTATGATTTTTAAGGTATAAGACCACTAAATAACCAATACACATTGAGAATATAAAATCGAAATTCATATTTATTTTTTATTCGGACATTCATTGAGTTTATCACGCCAATCATCATGGTCCTGCATCAAGGTCGGAAGATCATTACTGAAGCATCTTGTGTCATAACATAGCTGGTCAATGTAGGTAGCTGGGCGACCAACTCGTCTTGCTCCATGGCTATGTATCTAGA